ACGGGTCTCAGCAGGTGCCGCGGGGGCGCTGTCTGGGCGTGGCCCTCTTCTTGGGGCCGCAACTTAGCCCTGAGTGAGGTGGTTGGGTGGGCAGCCTTGGGCGGGGCTCTCGCCCAAGCCGTGATGACTCCCTCTGCCCGAACCTCTGCTGGAGAAACAGAATGTCCCCCAGGGGCCTGAGCCGCCCCGATGTCCCCAACCTGATGTCCTCAACCTCGCTCTGCCAACCCCGGCTCCCTAGCCCCACCCTGCTCCTTTGTTGGAGGGGTTGGGCCTGGATTCGGGGTGACCTTGGTCCGGGACTGGACTCCCCATCAGCGCGGCAGCGTCTGGGGAAGCCCCCGCGGGGTGGACCGCGCCCATCGGGGTCTGCAGCTGGGGACTGGACGTGGGAACAAAGCCGGGCTCTGGGGTGTGGAGGCTGCATCCCGGAGGCCCCTCCCTCCATTGTTAGGACCCCTCACAGAGGAGGCTGAGGCGGAAGGGACGTCGGTGCTCCGAGTGTGAAGAACCTCAGGAGGAGACTGGGTCTCCTCCTGAGCTCATTACATAGACGTCCTGTCCCCAAACCCCGGGAGGCTGTCCGCAGCCCAAGGTCACACAGCTGGTGCAGGACAGAGCCGGGCTGTCCCCCTTTGGCGCCAACCTGGGGCTCAGGCCGGTGGGTGGGGCCGGCTTCCCTAAGGGTCTTCTCTCAGAACAATATGGGGGGGGGGGAGGCACTTTGTCAGGACCAAGGCCAGCGACCAAGCTCGGGGTGGTGTGGAGGAGACAGGTCCTGGAGGGGAAGGGGCCGGGACAGGCTTCCTCTGGAGGCTGTTACCATAGAAACCAAGCAGGAACAAAAAGCTAATTACCACAAGGCTGGGGCAGCCACGTGGCTGACATGTAAATTGCAACTTTGGCTCCAGGGTGGAGGCGCCTCAGTTGGGGGGAGGCCCAGTAGTGGGGAGACTCCCTAATCACCCAAGGAGACAGCTGTGCCTGCCAAGGAGAGGGTTGGGGGAGGGGAGGCCTGGGGGTAGAGGCCTCAAATCAAATCAAGACTCCTGGGGCAGGTCTGACAGCTGCCCTGGCCTGATGGGAGGAGCTCGGGGCTCATTAATGTGGTCACAGGGGCCAGGCCTGCCCTGAACATCTGCTCCTGGGAGGATCAGGGGTCACAGGGGAGAGGGAGGGAGAGGCCTGAGGCCCTCTGGGTGACCCTCCTGCTTCTGTGGCTGGATGGGCCCAGGGCTGCAACCCCACAGGCCAGGGCTGGGGCTAGAAGTCAGGTCCACGCCACAGACTCCCCTGAGGCTCTGTGGGTGTAGGGTTGAGACGCCACCTGAATACTGGGCGTCGTCCTTGGCTGGGGTTCTTCTCAACACTGTGGCCCTTGGGTTTGCCAATTGCTTTTTATTCCTTTTCAGTTTTTAAAAAAAGTATATCTGTTTAAAAAATTAACCTCCAATACTTTTATCAACGGAAACAACAGAAGTACATTTCCTCAGAGGAATAGTTTCTCTCTTTCCCACCACTTCCCAATGAGGAACCAGTGTGAAGCAGTCCAGGGCTCTTCCAGAGCTCACACCTAGAACCCTGGGCCAGGGCCTGTGTAGGGGTTTGGTCTGCTCAGCGATGCCCCCTGCCAAGGGAAGTTTCTTAGCCGTTCTTGGTTCCCAATTCCATAGCCAGTGTGCGACGCAGCGGAGGGTGTGGCAAGTTCTTCCTGCCCATCTCCGGCGGCAGCTGATGGGTGGGCCGGGGGCGCGGGCGGGGGGGGGGTTGCTGCCCCGCGTGTGGGTCCTGGAGGGGGGGCCCGGCTCAGCAGCGAGGCCCCCCACACACACTCTAGGGAGGGGTCTGGCTGGGCGAGGTGAGTGCGGGGAGGTCAGGTTAATTCCTGGCAAGCAAGCACTTGTCCGAGTGGAGACAGAACAGCAGGAATGACTGACTAGATGTCCCCAGGCGTTGGGCACTGGGCTAGTGCCACATCCCCCTCGCCTGCCAGGATGGGCTGAGGCAGGTGTCTAGTCATTTGTCCGCATTCACAGCACAGCAGGAGCAAGGCAGGAGTTCGAGTCTAGGTCTGTGTAGAAACGTCGGGATGGACGGGACTCACAAAGCTCCCCTTCCCCCAGCAGAGGAGTCTGGGCCCCTCGTGGTTTATTTTCCTGGAGTCTGGACCCCCGGGCCCAACTCCTCTCCTAGAGGGGCAGAGCAGTCTTGAAACGTTGTGGAAGGAGCCTTTGTCTGGCCCCGCCGGCTGCCCAGGGCCGCCCCCTCCCCTCGGCTGCTGGGCGGAGCCTGAGCTGACAGCCAATGGGAGAGGGCTTTTTGGGTTTTGCTCCTCCCCCAGCACCTCCAAAATGAGTCACGGTGAAGCGGCGGACGGGCGGGGAAGGGCGTTTGGGGTCCTGGAAGGAGCTTAAACATCCCTGGATCTCGCAGCCCTTCTTCCGGGAGCCGCTGACCTCGCTTGGCCTCGGCTCCTGCCCCCACCTCCACCTCACACTGCCCCGACCCAGCTGTTCCCTGGGACCCTCTGCACGGCGCGCGGTCAGCACCATGGACAGCGCCCGCCGTTCCTGCAGCCCCAAGACCCGGCAGCGGGCCCGAAACCCGAGCCTGGGCCTGGACCCGCCTGTCATCGGCAGCTCTCTCTTCTGTAGGGTTGCTAGCAATTCAATTTACAAAATTGTATTGTACTGTACTTTTTTTAAAAGTCAAAGTCTCGGTCGCCCAGTTGGGAGTGCAGTGGCACATCACGGCCACCGCAGGCTTGACCTGCTGGGCTCAGGCGATCCTTCTGCCTCAGCCTCGGGAGTAGCTGGGGATAGAGGTGCGCCACCACGCCCCGCTAATTTATTTATTCTACAGACGAGGTCTTGACAAGTTGCCCAGGCTGATCTCAAACCTCTGGGATCAGACAATCCTCTTGCCTCCGCCTCCTAAAGTGCTGGGATTAGGAGGCGTTAGCCACCACGCCCAGCTCATTTTTAAAGACATTTTGTACAGACGGGATCTCGCGATGTTTCTCAGGCTGGCCTTGAACTCTTGGCCTCAAGCAATATTCTTGCTTCGGCCTCTCAAAATGTTGGGATTACAGGTGTGTGCCACAGCTCCCGACCTTATTATTTATTAAATATGTTACATAATATATTTTACTGATACCTTATTTTAAACTATAATTTTATTAATTATAACTACAAAAGCTATTATTACTATTATTATTACTTGAGTTGGAGTCTCACTCTGTCGCCCAGGTTGGAGTGCAGTGGCACACTCACAGCCACCCTAGTGCCGACCTGCTGGGCTCAGGCGATCCTTCCTCCTCAGCCTTCCAAGTAGCTGGAACTACAGGCACGTGCTACCACACACAGCTAATATTTTATTTATTGTAGAGATGAGGTCCCGCCAAGTTGTCCGGGCTGGTCTTGAACCCGTGGGCTCAGGCAATCCACTCACCTTGGCCTCCCAAAGTGCTGGGATTACAAGCTGAGTCACAGAGCCTGGCCCAAAAGCAATTATTAATATGTCCCCTTCTGAAAGTAAAGCATTGCTGATAAGGCTAAAGTGACCATTTAACCACTTCTTCCTAAGTGGAGACTTTTTTTTTCCAATCCTTCCAGTCCATTTTATTTAAGTTACTTGTGCACAGGCCTGTAAAAATTTAAACAGCATCTAAAGCCTTTCAAAAAAATGAAGCAGGCTGGGTGTGGTGGCTCACTCCTATAATCCCAGCCCTCTGGGAAGCTGAAGCAGGAGGATTGCTTGAGCCCAGGAGTTCATGACCAGCCTGGGCAACATAGTGAGACACTCCCCCCTCCCCCACACTAAACTTTTTTTTTAATTAGCTGAGCATGGTGACAGCCTATAGTTCTAGCTACTTGGGAGGCTGAGGTGGGAGGTTGTCTTGAGCCCAGGAGGTCAAGGTTGCAGTGAGCTGAGATCATGACACAGCACTCCAGCCTGGGCAACCCAACAGAACCCTGTCTCAAAAAAATAAAGTATAAAAAAAAATGAAGCGAACATTTGCCAAATGCTTTTATGTCAGGCCTTGTTCTAATCACTTGATGTGGGTACCATTAGCATGTCCATCTCAAGATGAGAAATCTGAGATCTGGTGGAGTTCCAGACCCACAGCTGTGGCTGGTGCTGGGCTCTGAACCACTCAGGTCCATTGTTCCTGGTGGGCCACGCTTCACACTCTGCAAAGAACTTCCCAGACATGTGATGCCATAGTGAAGCACTCTTTCCTGCCCTCAACGCTTGATGTTGAGTGCATCTGTCCTCTACTGAAGCTGGTGGCTGCGGGTTCCTGCACCATAAATTTGGGGTGCCCCAGAGCTGTGGAGAGCAAGGCTCCAGGTTCAAGTAGACTGCCAGAAATTAAGTAAATGGAGAACCTCTAAGAGCCAAGCAGAAGTTGGAAGTTCAGACAGGATCCAAAGGCTTCAGTGACATTTCTGTGATTTTATTTATTTTATGAGTTGGGGTCTCACTCTTGTCACCCAGGCTGAAGTGCAGTGGCCCATTAAGAGTTCACTGCATACTCAAACTCCCTGAGCTAAAAGGATTCTCCTGCCTCAGCCTCCTGAGTAGCTGGGACTGGAGGCACCATCACACCCGGCTACTTTTTTTTTTAAGATATGGAGTCTTGCTATGTTGTCCAGGCTGGTATTGAACTCCTGGGCTTAAGCAATCCTCTCACCTTGGCCTCTCAAAGCTCTGGGAGGGCCACCACACCTGGCTACTTTTATTTTTCTCATTAAAAAACTTAATGCAAAAAAGAAGAATAAACTCAACAATGCCAAAAATACACAAAAGGGCAAAAAAATCCACCCTCCAACCTGGCAGAGAGATGACCTCTAATAACAGTCTCTTGAGTGAACAGGCAGATTTCTGTGCATTTTATAATAAATAACTGTTTGTTCTCTTAAGAACGTTTAAATTTTTATTTTTAACCAGTCTGAAAAACTAGCATGTGCACATGGCAAAATCCCAACAAGACCAAAGACAAGTTGCCCAGGCTGGATGTCTCTCTTTCCCAACCCTGGACCACACCTCCCAGCTCAGCTCTGCGTGTCTGTCAGAGAGAAGCACATGCAAACTGTTTTCTAGCCTGCTTTTCTCTTGAGCACTCTTCCCCAGCACATGACTCACATGTAGAGGCCCTTTGTTTCTTGAGGCCATCACACCCATTAACTCATGTGGAAGTCATTCCAGTCCTGAGAAGTGAGGAGGAGGGGTGTTGGGAGAGGAAGCCACGTGGTGTGTGTCGGACAAGGCCTCTTGCCTGCAGACACTGCTCCAAGAGGTAGTCTGGTTAGGCATCTGAGAAGTGTCCCTGGGTGAAGCAGCACTTCTGCAAGGTGTGTGCCTTTTTGTGCGTACATGGGTGCTAATAATTCTGCATAGCAGTGCTCATCTGCCATATACTGTTCACACCCTTGACAGATTCACCCAATTCTAGTCTGTTATCACCAGACCCACTGTACAGATGAGGACACTGAGTCACAGAGAATCCCTGTGGCCTGTCCAGGGTCACACAGCTGGGAAAGGGTAAGGACTGGGCTGTGAACCCAGGAGGTCTGGACCCTGTTCTGCAGTAGTCATAGGGCAGAGTTTGACAAGCACTGGGTTTCACACACACGCACAAAAAGCCCAGGAAGTGGTTTTTGTTTTGTTTGAGTTGGGGTCTCTCTCTGTTACCCAGGCTGGAGCACAGTGGCACAATCATGGCTCACCACAGCCTCTTCCCAGGCTCAGGTGATTCTCCCACCTCAGTCTTCCAAGTAGCTGGGACTACAGGTGCACACCACCACACCCAGCTAATTTTTAAAGTTTTTATGAGGGGGGGTGTCTCAAACTCCTGGACTTAAGCAATCCTTTCACCTCGGCCTCCTAAAGTGCTGGAATGACAGGTGTGCACCACCACGCCCCTCATGGAAGAGCCAGCTGACCCGGACCCTTGCCAGCAGGTGCACAGCTGGGTCTGGGACGTAGGTCTAGCTCTGTTGAGCCCTGGTCACCCGGGGCACTGGCCAGTGTGGACATGTAGGAGGTAGATCTGCATATTAACTGCAACAATTTTCAGATGTTCATTGACAGATGACAGCAGGGGCTCTCTTCTAAAATCTCTGGATGGGGTCGGTGGAGGCCTTGGGGCCAAGACCCTAATTTTACACTAAGGACTTATAAGACTTCAAGAGGGAAGGGGCCTGCCGGGGTGACAGGCTGCCTGCCGACCCCTCCTCTCCCACCTCTCCTGCAGTTCTGGGAGGTCATCAGTGATGAGCATGGCATCGACCCCAGTGGCAACTATGTCGGGGACTCGGACCTGCAGCTGGAGCGGATCAGTGTCTACTACAACGAGGCCTCCTGTGAGTGCCTGCCCCTGCATCTCCATCCCTGGCCCTGGGAGGAGGAGGAGGAGGAGGAGGAGGAGGAGGCAGTGGGTTGGCTGGTGCTAGCTTCTCTGCCCTCTCTGGCTGGTCCAGAACCAGCAGGCATGCCTGGACATCACCCATTCAGACGCACAGGGCAAAGACGACACACCGTGCTAACAGTCACATAAAGTGGGCGTCAGACATACCCTGCGATCACCAGGGCCTTTGCACAGCCAGGGGAAACAGACAGGACTGGGGCTAGGAGACTTTGGATGCCGCTCCCTGGGAGCTGTGGGAGGCACCAGAGCTGGGGGCACCTGGAGGGCTCAATCAGGGCTGTTTGGCAACTGGTATAAAGTGATTTCCATAACAGAATGGTAGCACTTTTTTTTTTTTTTTTGGAGTCAGAGTCTCCATCACCCAGGCTGAGGTGCAGTGGCACGCTCAGGGCCACCGCAGCCTCGACCTGCTGAGCTCCAGCGATCCTTCTGCCTCAGGCTTCCAAGTAGCTGGAACTACAGGTGCACACTACCATGCCCGGCTAATTTTTTATTTATTGTAGAGATGAGGTCTTGCCAAGTTGCCCAGGCTAGTCTTGAACCCGCGGGCTCAGGCAATCCACTCTCCTCGGCCTCCCAAAGTGCTGGGATTACAGCCGATGAAGTGGTAGCACATTAACCCGCCCACATGGATATGTGATTGACCCTGCCTGTCCTAGGGTGGTGACCCTGCCCGTGGTGAGGCTTAGGGTGAAGTGAGTTGCTCGAGTTCACTGTGGTCCAGGTCCCCCTGATTCAAGTCCAAGCTCTTAGGGTGTGGGCAGGAGTGTGGCAGGTGGTGGCAGGATTTAGAAGGGAAGCTGGAGGAGCCCCTGACCCTCTGTAACCTGTGTCACCGAGCCCCCTCTCCCCTCAGCTCACAAGTATGTGCCTCGGGCCATCCTGGTGGACTTGGAGCCTGGGACTATGGACAGCGTCCGGTCGGGAGCCTTTGGGCATCTCTTCAGGCCTGACAACTTCATCTTCGGTAAGGGCCCCTGCTCCAACTCGAATGGCAGACCCCACCACAGGCAAGCCCGGGTCAACAGGGGAGGTGGCTGTCAGAAACAGAACTGAGCACTGCTCTCTCCATTGTCCAGTTGGGCACTGGGAGCCCAGAGAAAGGAAAGAGAAACCCTCACATATTTCAAGCAGAATGTGGTGTAAAACAGAATCATTAGAGAGCTGGTGAGAAGTCAGTCAGCACGTCCAGTGTGTCTGGCTGGGAGACACTGATTCACATTTAGCTCCTTGCTGCCAGGGATTCCAGGCTGTTGTTTAAGCTTCCAGCATAGCCAGGGGAGGTGTTTGGAGCAGGAGGGCTGACCCAGGCTCTCCCCAGGAGACAGTAAGGTGCTGGCCTGACCCCAGGTTCTCAATTCGCTGTTCAGGGCTCTGAACATACAGAGCACCATACAGCCAGGGGGTCCCAACACTCAGTGGCGCTGGCTTAGGGGGCATGAAAAGGTGTGCACAGTGGGGCCTGCTTTACAGCGCGAAAGCAGTCACTGGGCTTCCACAGCTGCCCCTGGGCCTGCAGAGCCCCTGACCCTATCTGTCTCCTCCACCTCTTCTCCCCCAACAGGTCAGAGTGGGGCTGGCAACAACTGGGCCAAGGGACACTACACAGAGGGCGCGGAGCTGGTGGACTCAGTCCTGGACGTCGTGCGGAAGGAGTGTGAGAACTGCGACTGCCTGCAGGGCTTCCAGCTGACCCACTCGCTGGGCGGGGGCACGGGCTCGGGCATGGGCACGCTGCTCATCAGCAAGGTGCGTGAGGAGTACCCCGACCGCATCATGAACACCTTCAGCGTGGTGCCCTCACCCAAGGTGTCGGACACCGTGGTGGAGCCCTACAACGCCACGCTGTCCATCCACCAGCTGGTGGAGAACACAGACGAGACCTACTGCATTGACAACGAGGCACTCTATGACATCTGCTTCCGCACCCTCAAGCTGGCCACGCCCACCTACGGGGACCTCAACCACCTGGTGTCGGCCACCATGAGCGGGGTCACCACCTCCCTGCGCTTCCCGGGCCAGCTCAACGCCGACCTGCGCAAGCTGGCCGTGAACATGGTGCCCTTTCCCCGCCTGCACTTCTTCATGCCGGGCTTCGCCCCACTCACAGCTCGGGGCAGCCAGCAGTATCGGGCCCTGACGGTGCCCGAGCTCACCCAGCAGATGTTCGACGCCAAGAACATGATGGCTGCCTGTGACCCGCGCCACGGCCGCTACCTCACGGTGGCCACTGTCTTCCGGGGTCGCATGTCCATGAAGGAAGTGGACGAGCAGATGTTGGCCATCCAGAGCAAGAACAGCAGCTACTTCGTGGAGTGGATCCCCAACAACGTCAAGGTGGCCGTGTGTGACATCCCGCCCCGTGGCCTCAAGATGTCCTCCACCTTCATTGGCAACAGCACGGCCATCCAGGAGCTGTTCAAGCGCATCTCGGAGCAGTTCACGGCCATGTTCCGGCGCAAGGCCTTCCTGCACTGGTACACAGGTGAGGGCATGGACGAGATGGAGTTCACCGAGGCCGAGAGCAACATGAATGACCTGGTGTCTGAGTATCAGCAGTACCAGGACGCCACGGCCGAGGAAGAGGGCGAGATGTATGAGGACGACGAGGAGGAGTCTGAGGCCCAGGGTCCCAAGTGAAGCCAATGCTGGCGTGTGGGGCCAGGTGGCGGCCGGGGCCCCTCCAGTGGTGTCTGACCCCCGGAGCCATCTCGCTGCCGCCGCCGCCCCAGCTTTGCTCCCTGCCAGCTGGTCCCTCACCCTGGGGCTCCCAAGTCATTGTCCCTCAGTATTTATGGCCTTCCCCACCCCACAGGAGCCCATGCGGCTCTGTCTTCCCCACCATAGGCCATCTCCGGTTGTGTCGCTTGTTTGTCTCTTTGTTTGATTGTGGCTCCAGGCCTGACGTTTTATGCTTTGTTTTTTTACTGGTTTGTGTTTATATTTTGGGGGATACTTAATAAATCTATTGCTGTCAGATACCCCTGCGTGGTGATGGAGATTTCTTTTTACGCTAGAAAGTCGAAAGGTGAGGCAGGGCCGACGGGGAGGCTAGGTGGGCAGGGGGAGGGCCACTGTCTCCTGGCCTGGGCTGAGACAGTCTGTGCTTGGCCAGGAGGCCCCAGGGGGCTCCTGAAGGTGAGGGGCCCAGGGGAAGCAACCGGCTGTGCCTGGATAAAGCCTCGTTCCAGATCCCCTGGTGCAGCTCTCCTGTGACTTGGAGAAAATCCCACATCCACTTCTTAGTCTCCCACAGGGTGACTCACATTCTAGAGGTTTCTTCAGATTCACCTGGGCGCGGACTGTCAGGGGCGGGCAGACACCAGGCCCGAAGCCTGACCTGAGCTCTTGAAGAAGTTGAGGCTGTGTCTGGAGGCTCCGGGAAGGGGGCTGGCCAAGGCAGTGAGACACGGCCACAGGATCCAGGCCCAGCCCCCCGAGGAGTGGTGTGTGGGCTCCAGGCGCCCCCTGGTGGTCATTTTCTGCAGACGCAGGACGCCTGTTGTCCAGCCGCGCAGGCACGGCGGGGTCGTCGCCGGAGGAGCAGCACCTGGTCTACGAAACACGAAGGCGCCCCAGGAGCTGGGCAGGGGCGGCTTTCCAGGCAGAAGCCGGAAGAACGCAGAAACAAGGAGGAAGCCGGGTCCAGGGCTACTTCACGGCCAGGCCCCCGCAGGCCCCCGCAGGCCCCCGCGGGCCCTGCCACACGGTCCCACCCTCTCCCACACAGCCCCGCCCCCTCTCGGCTCTCTTCGCA